AATGAGAGTAAAGTTAATGCTACTAGTTCCAATGAAGTAGAAAGAGGTGTTGTTGTATTGAGACATATCCCCAGCATACACTGATAAAGGATTACAAGGATTATGAGTAACTGAACTGCAGTCATCAGACACATAATACTGACCAGAGGAGACACTGCAGGAGCTACTGAAGAATAAAAGAACAACCACTAACAGGAGAGACATAGCTACTGTCTGTACTGACAAGCACAATCACTCAGTGTGAGATGAGACTAATGAAGCTAAACCTATTGACATTTAGAAGGTATCGTTTACACTTAAAGTAATAATTATATTGTAGTGAGCGACAATATTAGATCAGTAGTACGTAGTAGTGCTCATTATTATAGATTCACTACTGGATGTTATTGCGACACTTTTTTTACACTCACAGGCTTAACTCAAATTTGTGGTGAGTACTGTCCTCAAAATATGGAAATATAGCTGTAGTGGTTATATAAATTCAATTTTTGTTAAAATAATAATTTTAGCAATAATCTCACATTTCACAAAAATTAATGTTAAATGGAACAGTTGAAATTGGGGAATTAGTGAATTTTGTTACAATCAGTATTATGCATACAGTGTCTATTTTTATGTCAGTGGTCCATTGATTTAAACAGTGCACTCAGACACTTGATGACATGTGCATGTTGAGTACTTTATACATGCTGCATGTTGAGATGCCCACATTGTGAACAATATAATCCATCCAAACTATTGGCCTAAAGGAAGATAGAGGAGCAGTTTAACAAAGTGTAACAAAGACATGATTATGATGGAGATAATGAGAGTAAGACAATATGAAAATTGGATGGTGATGAGTGTAATCACTGTAATGTATATGTACAAGGGTTTACCAAATTACCACAGCATTTGCTTCTTGTCAGCAAAGTTTCCAAAATATTTTGGCCAAATTTTACCAAGTTTGAAAAGCAGAAATTTCTCCATTTTTACATGTTATTCTGATATGCATGCGCTTATGTTGTGTAGAAACTTTGAAAGGATTTCAATCAAAATTGAATTTTATTACAATTTTTAATTTTGCTCAAAAGCCATGTACTGTATTTGTACTTCTTGTCAGCTCATGAAGCATACTGCATGTTTAGCTCGTTTAGAATGCTTGTGGGGAACCCTGTAAACAAGATATAGATCTCAGTAATAATGATGAAGAAGATGGGAGAAGATAACATGAAGAATAATGAATTTAGATCAGATGTGCATCAACAGAATACATCAAAGTGCATGAGGGAACGAATAAGGAAAAGAGTAGTGTAAAACCTTACAGATAATAGACAGAAGTCTTTCCAGCATTAGTAAAAGTGAGAGTACAATGTACTCCTGGTAAAAGCAACGAATGGTTCACTAATCACATCAGATCCAGCAGTGATAAAACAACCAACATTACCAAAACTGAAAAGCTACTCAAGAACAATCCCACAGTCAGCTTGAGTGTATGTTAATGTCCCACATAGCACTCATCCTTTTTCTACCTCTCTCAACTGTGCTGTTAATAAGCAGCTGTACCTATCTATGGTACAATCTAAGTTGTGTTATGTCTCCCAGTTGTGGCGTCCTTAATTAAAAAAGCATATCTTATTGTTAGAGAGAGTACAGCGTAGAGCATCTAAGTATGTCTTAGGTGACTCATCTTCAAACAGAGATAGATTGGTACAGCTCTCCCTGTTCCCATTAATGTACTGGCTTGAACTGCTTGACATTATGTATCTTGTAAAGTCTCTCAAATTCCCATCCGACAACATGTCCATACTGGAATTCGTCTCCTTCAGTGATTCCGCCACAAGGTCCTCAGTCTTTCATGAACTCAAGCACAACTATACTGTTGTACTTCTAAGTCACGTCACTCCTATTTTAACATGCAGGATTGTGAGATTGTGGAACAAATACCTGAAATTGACCTTACTGAATGAATCTCTGGTTACTGTCAAAACCATGCAGCTATGTATATTCCTCTGGAATCACTTTTTAGAGAACTTTGATTACATTAATTATTACTTTTTGTGGTGTGGTTGTTTTTTTATGAAGTAAGTTCTTTTTCTCTCTTCTCTCACTTTGTTCTGATCTCTTGTACTCTTGGATGATGGTTGACTGCATGGTTTGCCTGTTCCAGTGAATATAGTTTTGTATTTTATAACTATAGATAATTACTTATTGTATCAAAACAGGGGCTCCTGATCAAAAGCAGTGAAATTGGATTTACTGATTGCTTTTTACTTACATGCAATTGTCCTTGCCCTTTTCTCTCTCCCTATCCCCCTCTTCCAGTGTAACAATTAAGGAACTATCTTGATTGGTTGATGAGTATACCCTGGAGTAAGACCAGTAAAGAGGACTTCCATTTAGAGAGAGCTAATGTTATACTTGATGAGGATCATTATGGACTCAAGGACATTAAGGACAGGATACTAGAGTTTATAGGAGTCTCAAGATTGAAAGGATCAGTTCAAGGAAAGATACTCTGCTTTGTAGGACCACCTGGTAATGTACAATGTACATAAACAGTTATGTACATGTACATTTATTCTATTAATTTATATACATGTACAGTCAAACCTCTCTTAGACAGACACCTATGGGCCAGCCATCACTGTCCTTTATATGGTGGTGTCCTTAAATTGGAGGTTACCCTGTGCTGATCAGACCAGAAAATCCCACCATTTTCCTCTTGCATGTTAATTGGAAAGTTCATTGTGTGGGCCATGTTTGTCCAATGGAAGTTAATTTGTAGATGTGTGGGGGACAGTAAATGTCATTCATTATGCAGAATAGAGAGGTTCCACTATACAGAGGTTCTTTTATACACTACTTATAATGGCCTTATGACCAGGACAACAGGAACTGTACATTATAGACAGGTGTCCACTAATCAGGGGTTGGTTTAGAGAAGTTTGACTGTATTGGGTAATGCATTATGTTTCTCATGATACTACTTGCAATGTGCCATTATGATGGTTTTATTTTCTTGGTATAAAATTTTTGCAATTTTGTTCAGATTTGCATTTTGTTGGTATAATTTTGGTATAATACACCTATTTTCAGATCCACTGTCCCCTTCAGTAGCTCATTCTGTGTACTATGCATGCGCAGATGCACTAAGATGAATAGACAACAACTACACATGCGTATACAGATGGAAAACAGACTTGAAAAAAGGTCAAGAGTGTATAATGGAAGAGGTGTATTGGCAATTTTGTACCACATGCCATTGAGCATGCTCAGATTTTTAAAATGGCAGATTTTATGTTGGTGATTTCTTTATAGAACCACCAATATTAATTCCTCGCCAATAATCTTGTATGGTATTTATTAATTTATAAGTCATTCTCTTCAATTATTAAATAAAGAATATCCTGCATGCAGTACATGTACTTTGAACAATATTTTGAATCAGTCTACATTATAATATTCATGTTGTTTGTCTTCTTTTTGTTCCGTTGTACATGCACATAAATTTTAGACTTGTATTAATTTTGTTATAATAGTGTTGGATTTATGGATTTTCTCATTTTTTGTACTCTCACTTTCTGTGACTCTCTCTCTTCATCTCTAAGGTAGATCCAGCCAGTCCTTTGTTAGAGTTATTGGATCCAGAGCAGAACTCTTTCTTTTTGGATCGTTATCTTGATGTACATGTACCTGTAGATCAATCACGTGTTCTGTTCATTAGTACAGCCAATACAACTGACACTATACCAGGACCACTCTGTAAGTATCCAAGAAAGAAAGGTTAAGAGAGACCTCGCGAGAATCAATGAACAAATTTATCAATAAGTTAAAAACTTCTTAAAACTGAAGAATTTTTACACTTAAATATGCACACACACATCAATTACATCACAGACACATTGCATTACATAGAAAGGAATCTTAAATCAACAATGCATACATTATATAACCTTACATAAGAAATGAAAATAAGTACAGAAATGATAATCAGGAAAAATAATAGTAATATGCCTAGGAAAATAATTATAGTTAAGCATGAATACATCTTCAGTTACTTAAACTCCATCACAGCTCATACTGGGTACTGGACCAACTCTGACTGTGCAATGTATCTACATGTATTACTTCAATCTTATAAAAAGGAACCTTCATAGTACAGTGTATGGCTGACTGGTGGTATTGCTGATTTATAGAGGATCTTTCTCCCTCTTTGTGATTATACTGTGTGCATGTGTATTGCACTATAGCAGTAGTAGATATTGCTTTAATGTTTTAAATTATAGTAAAGTCTTACAACACATTCTGTCATATAAATGAAGCTTGTATGGTATGAGGACATGAATGGTTGTTCTATATAGAGCATAAATTGTGATGACACTGTTACAATGACAGTATTCATTGAGTAGCAAATATTTGTGACAGGATTGCAATAAAAGTATAAAAAATAATTTGGCACTTAAAATTAACAGTTAGTCAATATGTACATCTATGTCTAATGCTTTAATTGGCATTCTATAATCCTCTCCAACCTACAATAATATTATAATAAAATAGCATAATTGATGAGGTATTTAATTAACTGATTGTACTTATAAGATGATACATGAGGTTTACTGACCTTGCTTGCTCTGCCTCTTCTATTTTTGATCTCTTTTTATCTGTTAACTTTTTCATTTTTTCTCTATTATCTCTAAATGATTATGAACAGTAAGAGGTGCATGTAAGTGTGTGTATGCATAATGTGTGTGTATTCATTAGTACTTGTAATATAGGACACATCCATCATCAACATAATATAGTGCTAATGGGTATCTGTCTGAACTGATGGAATACCAGTTCAACTTATTCTCAATATCAAGACATGATATCTCAACTGGAAATAATCTTTCCTAATAGAATGAGAGAGAGTGTGTGTCTTTATTAATATGTTTCAATGATTAACCTTTGTACAATAGATATACTCAACAGGAACTCTACTTAACTCTGACAGCTGTAGGAATAGAATAATAATGCTGATACATGTTCTTTATTATAATTTCTATTTTTACAAATAACACCTTTTCAATAACATGCTTAGGATCTTTGTCCTTATCCAGTATAATTTCTTCTATTGGATCAACTGAACATTGTGATGGACGCCATCTTATAACATACATCTGTACCTGTGCTTCATGCTTCTTCATCTCTGGTCCTGATAAAATATACTAACAATAAACTTACTGAAGATATACCAAAATTACTAAGATACATGTATACTGATTACTGACCTTTCAGTGGTTCTACATATATTTCCTTATTAGCACCAATCAACTGAGGATCAAGATATACTGTACCAGGAGACACTCCCTTCATGATACGTAATCTCATTCTACACAATAAGCATATAATAGTCACATGATGTACTTACTTGTCTAATTCAAGAATACAGTTAATTCTTTGTACTTTTGTTTCTTTGATAATTTGTCTCTTAAATTCTCTCACTGGTGTATCCATAGCAACAATATACTCCATCATATAATTACAAAACTAAAAATAAAATACAAATTATAATGATTAATGATAAATGTTCTAGTATGCAGCACCTCTGTATTGTTAACTTGTAATAAGTATAATTTAATTCTTTTCTCTCCTCTTCCTAATTCTCTACCCAGTTTTGCTATCAACTAGAAGATACACAAAGTAAAAAAGAGATGAGTGTGTGTTATTAGTACTTATATACATGTAGTATATATATAATGGAAAGGAGAACTGGAAAAGTGACTCAAATAACTACACTATACCTCTGATCCGGATTTCATATTCATAGTGAAAATGAATGTGTCATCTAGGCTCTCTATTTCATATTCTTTACCATATCTGATTCTATATACTATAAAACCAGTAGATGGTACACCAATCAGTGGAACAAGCTCGTCCTTTAATTGAGCTACTGTTATTCTCTTATCAACTCGTACCCATATCTCTGATTGAATAATGTAATGATAAATGGTCTCAATAAAATTATCAAGTGAATATTTATAATAACCTCTTTCTTTTCCTTTATTTTCTTCATTTATAGATATAATTTTCATTATTGCTCCTTTTTCAGTAATAACATTAGTTGTAGTGGGTGTGGCTTCAGGAGCTGGAGGTATTGTAATTCTCAGTGTTATTGAGTTGAAATGAAAATCAATAATCCTGTACATCAAACTATCTTTGAATTCTTTTTGATAATCTTTAGGATCTGATGATACATACAGCAACTGAGTCTGTGTGTGTGTGAGTTTTTGTGTGTGTGTGTGAAGAGGAAAATACAAATAAAAGAAACTTATATGACAAATTGACTAACTATATGTCATATTTTTTTGTATTTGCATGCACATGGTAAATGGCCAATATACAATATACAGTCTAGGTAAGTCTCTCTAAATAATCTAGGCAAATTTATAGGTTATAAAATGATGTGGAGGTATCTGTGGCATTTATCATACCATGCAAACTGAGGCCGTAGGCCTGTGCCTGCACAATATAATAGCTCATGCCTGTATGAGCAAAACTGCTATCAGTTGCAAAAAATGCAAGCTTAGTGTCATGTTTATGTCAGGATATTCATTTCTTACTCTGTTTCCATAGAGTATCTCCCTTAAAGTACTTTCTACATTACTAATATCAGTAACATCATTAGATCTATACTCCATCATTACTACTCTCATACATGATAAATTGATATTAAATAACTAAAATAGTAAAGAAATATACAAGATCCGGCAATGGAGAGAGAAAGGAGAACAATATAAATGACAGTATATTCTCCCTCTTACTTCTCCTATATGTTGTTTTAATTCTTCAGCAGTCCAACATTCTTTACCTCTCATTGTTTTAGCTGGTACTACTTTACCAGTTGACAGATCAACCACTGATACCATTAGTTTAATACCTACACCATCAACACATGTATGTATAATTAGAGGTATTGCCATGGTAACAAAATCAAACCCACATTCATCAATGTATTTCTTAAAAGTTTCATTTTCTTTACGAGTTTCTAAAAATAATCTATAAAACTGAGCCCTACCAACAATCTGTCCAATAGTTTGATGTGGAAACTAATTAGATTTAAAATAATTATAACAATTAAACATACATGTACCTCATCAAGATCAAAGGATTGAACTATTGCATCATCAAAATCATCATATTCAACTAAACGGCATCTCTCAATAGGAATATGAGGAGCTAAGCCTGATAACTGAGACGGAAGAAAGAATAAGAAAAAAAGAACCAATAAATAGAAATAGACCAACTAAAGATAATAGAGCTCTTGCACAAATGTAATTAACTGGAGGGTGGGGCTACACTGTCTGCCCTCTTGAGTGGCAAGAATGTATATATAGTAAACAAATGGAGGTTATAGGAGGTATAGAAACAAACTGGGATTTTTCATCTAAGAAATATCATACTTTACTGCAGAATACAGTTTTTCACTGAATATCTTCATCTGAAATGCCAGCAACAGAATTTTTTTAGATTTTTCTCCATTCTTTTTCTTTCCATTCCACCATGTACATTGTTTGGCCACCCAACATGGGGGACAATTTAGCTCAAATTTTGCCACACCCTTCCATTGATTACATCAATGCAAGAGCTCTATAAATGTTAACCTTATACGCTTTATCCAGTACTGTGGGTAGTGTTTCATTTTTATGTACTTCAAGTCTTGACCTTGTTAATTGACCGGTAATAGGATTATTACGATATAACAACAACTATATACATGCATAAAAAGTAATTTAAATTTTAGGGAACTCTCTCTGTCTCAGTTTCTCTTACTGAACATATTTGATCCTTAAAAATATAATCATCAGCACTCAGGCTATCACAACCATCAACCTCTTCATACTCATGATCAATCTCCAGGCTATCACAACCATCAACCTCTTCATACTCATGATCAATCTCAGCCTCCTTATCTTTCAAATGATCTATTCAAATATCAACAATCAAATGATAATTCACATCAGCAATAAAACCTTTAATATCTTTTATAATCTTCTCATTGTGTTCTCTTTCAGTAACTAGTTCCATATTCATTAATGTTATTCTTTCTTGTAATTTCTCTATTATTCTTTTATTATCTACTAATGGCTGATAGTCTGGTCTTGTCATTGCCTTAAGATGAAACTTGCAGTCATCAATTTCAAAAGTCATTCCTTTTCTCACTCTGCTAGCAGCTTTAATTAATTACATAATAATAATTATTATTAATAAAGTTACTCTAACCTGAATCAGTATTACTAGTAAGTGATCTCAAATATTCAATCTTCATTTTTGATAATTTGTCTGACAATTTTTTGTTTTCTTTTTGTATCTCATTAAACTGAGACCTCAATACAGTCAACTCTTCATAAAGTTGTTCTTCCTA